CCCCTTTGAAAATTTTCTACAAATTTAGAAAGAACAACACATGTAGTGCTGGTATAAGCACTGTAGATACTAGTATTAATCAATGAAACAATTCACAATGAAGAAGTAAAATCACATCTATAATTCCTGTAATAATTAAAAGTTTCTGATTATAATTCAGGTGAGAAAGAATAATTATTTCAACAAATGAGACTGAGAGCATTTGAGAATTGCAAGTAAAAAGATTAATGTCAACTTCTTTCTTGCATCCACTCACAATAATTATTCAAAGTGTGTTATAAGACTAAATGTATGATCTAGCGTTCTAAAAATACTAGAAATATAATTAAAAAAACACGAACTATATACTTCTGACTCTTGTCTAGGAGAATTTTTAAAGATAGTAACCCAAAAACAGACTGTCATAAAGACACAAGAACCTGAGCATAAAATATGAATAATTTTGTACTTTAAAGAATACCAGCCAGAAATCGAAAACATAGAAAGTGAAAAAATATTTGTCCCATAGAATAGAAGAATTTTTAGTCTCTACTAATAAAATACTTTTACTGCTTAATAATTAAATGAACACATAGTCTAAAATTCAGAAAAAATTAATAAACATTCAACTTAAATTACATAAATGATTACTAAGTACCTGACAATATTTTATCACAATTGATTATTATGGAAATTAAAATTAAAATCCCAGTAAGAAAAAGTCTCTCATCTGTAAGGAAAACCAGAGATGCGGGAAGCCTCCATGCACTGAGTGCTAGGAGCTCAAAGCCTGCATAAAGACCTTTACCTAGCTGTGCAGCTGTAGTACCTTGCTGGGAACCTGGTAGGGTTCTGCCCAGTGTTCTCAAACAGAAGAAGACTTTTGGTGCAATTCTGGGATCCTGGTTGCATCCTGCCCAACTGGTTTGTTTGCCTGCTCATTTCTTAATATTTTTATTAAGATCATTTTAAGGTTTTGGTTCAAAGAAATGCAGATATGTAATATACACAATTCACATGGTTTGGACATAAACAGACAGTGAAGATACCACTATTACAACTAAAGTAATCTACAGAGACATCATCTCAAGATTCCTTGCGTATTTTTTGCCTTCCCGATGATTGTTTCTGCCTTTTTTTTTTTGATTTTTTTATTTGAAAGAAGTAACAACATTTAATATGAAATCTTCAGTTTCAAAGAGTGTAATACTATTTTAACTTTAAGCACCATGCTGTGCTGTAGAAAACATCATTTGAACTTACTCATCTAACATAAATGAAGATTGGAACACATGGAACAATTCCTCCCCATTTCTGTTTCTCTAGCCTCTGGTTCTCATTACTGAATACAATTCTCTACTTCTATGAGGTCTCCTACTCTCATGTAAATTGAATGATGCAGTTTGCCTTTTGTCGTGGGTCAATATACTGAGCACTGTGTCTAGCAGACAAGACCACAAGATTTCCTTTCTAGGAGAAATAGTTTTGAGTCCTTGTAAAAGAAATCAGTGGTGACTCAAAACTATTCTGAGATTGCTGAAGTATACCCTAAATATCTGTTTCATTGGCTTTTACTGAAGTGAAAGAATAGGATGCTCCTGGTTTACCCTTATGGTAGAGAAGGATTTACTAAATGACCAATTTTCCTATGAATATGGCATATTTATTTGCATAGGTGAAAAAGAAAACAGTATCTGAGGGTAGGTGAGCTCACGATTATCTTTAGAGTGATTGTACACTGATAAGGCTTGAACTATTATTTCATAGGAGTTTTTCTACAGTCTTGTCTTAAAAAGAAGCATTCTATCATGAAAGCATGTCTTAGACAATGCTGAAATTAGTAAGGAATATATAAAAATAGAAAATTTTCTGTTGAATGTTGAAATAAAATATGCTATTGAACATTGAAATAAATTACTGAATCATGATTTAAGAGGATACTTTTAGGCTTGAGATGTAGGCTTACATTACAATAAATTTGCCAATGAGAAACACAACTTTTGCTGTGGATATAGAGTGATAAATATTATAAAGTCCTTGTATTTTTGAATATTACAAACTCAAGGGGATCAAGGAGACAGACACCGGGTAAATATCATGATGAGGCAGGTCCTACAGGAACACAGCTATTGTGTTTTTAACAGAGAAATGAACCCAGTGAAAATGTTTGGAGAGAACCATTTTCTTCTGTTGTGTCCCAGCAATTATCAAGTGACATGAGTATTACCAAAGGACATTTGTTAAGTCTAAAGACTTAATTCAGGATGTTCCTTTAATTTTGTCCTCCTCTACCACTTTATCTTATGAATATCATATGATGTTGAAGGCTCTTCCGTGAAGATATTTTGTAATAATGTCCTAGTTAATGAAATGATTTTCTAACTGCACAGGAACACATTTCTTATGTTGCCATGTATTGCATAGGTAATTCTGAATCATTTGCTATGAGTCATTGCCACTTTTCATTTTGTAAATTAAATAAAGAGCTTGACAAATTTCCTTGAATATAACAAGTCTCACGAAAAAAAGCCTTCACAAAAATGTTTTGAAAGAAACTTAGAAAAAAGTTAATTGAGTAAGACCCTCTGCCACTGGCAATGTCTCAAATGCAGAAGTGTTCTCACAAAATGAGGTGCTGCAGAGGAAGTGAATGACTAAAGAATCTGTTCACCAGGGAGTGTAGCTCAGAAAGAGAATGAGCAGCGACAGAAGAATAGCTTGGTCCTTCTGGACTTATGCCTAAAGACTACTGCCTCAGAAGAGTCCAAAAATTCTGAAAGTCCTGACCAAGATGCTGTCATACCTTTTCTTCTAAACAGAGAGCTCAGTGTTGCTCATAGACCAAAAACATCCTTGGAGTTATTAATACCAATCTCTGTTGAAAGTGATATCAAAAGTCATTGATTCACTGCCAGGTGACTGATAACACGGGCTTTATGCGTTGAGCACAAAGAACGAGGTTTTGGTGAAGAACAGCAGTGATGACGATGTCCCACTAGAACTTTCTCTCAGAAGGATTTACTTTTGGGAGAAGAATCCATTAGAATAAAGTCTTCTCCTCCTGGGTTCTGAAGTATTTATTGCCAGCACATAGGTATTATCCATTCCACTAGTTAGATTATGGCTTAAAAAGAATGTAAGATTCAGCCACCTCAGGAAAAGCTCCATCAATGAACACTTCTACGCAAATTTGTGTGGACATCAAAAAACAAGCCATAGCAGAGTTCCATCTCTGTTTTGGACTGTGTTTAGTATTTGTGCTAATATTTTAACAAGGTGTCTTCCCAGAGCTGTAAAAACTTCTACAAAATTTTTTCTTTTTCTTAACACATATTAATAATTTTAGGTAAACAGATCAGTTTGGAAAATATACAAAATATCATAATCATATATCTGTAGTCTATTCATCTGAAAAATGTTGTGTATGTTGCTTGTTTAATTACTAGGATAATAAATTATCATCATACATTTAAATTTTTAGGTCACAGTCAAACAATGCAAATTCAGTGCACACATATACATGCACATATACATATTAGAACATAAATACATACTTCTTTTCTTTATCACATACATGTGTGACACAAAGAACCACTAGCAGATAATCATGAGGAGAAAACTTTTCTGAAAACTATTGCAAAATTTTGACTTGCAGTTTTCAAGAATGACAATATAGCTGGGCAAAATACAGAAGGACATTTATTGCTTGAAATGTAAGTACACTAAAAGATATTTTTTTCCTCAGGACAAACAGTGAGTTTTGTGTAAAAATGTTACGTATCACTAGTCAGAAAACAATTTATCATCTTTGACTTTTCCATATCAATATAAGCTCATATGAATTGTAATAGTGAGAGAAAGTCAATGTTAAATCCGAGTTTCTATAAAATAGTTTGGGGGCAAAAATAAATATGAACTCTGTGGAATAAGAGAAAATGAATACAGAATTGACAATAACAGTGAACAGATGGAATCATTACCAAAATTTAGAGAAAATATCTTTGTACCGACATATGTTAAAACATGCCTAGTATAAATAGTCCTACTTATTATAGTAAATATCGTCTTCTATGTTGTTTTCTCCACGTGGGTAAAAGTTGACTTATCACCCATCTTATGCTTGCATATTTCCTAATATTATTCTACATGGTTATTAGGTTTATCCTTTGTACATTCCAAATGGCAAACATCATTTAATTTTACACAGTACACTTTCAGAAATGTTTGACAATAACTTAGTAAAAAGATAAACAAAATATTCAGATTATCATAGGGTATTGACTAAATGTAATATTCACCTCAAACTAGATAAATAAGCCTTGCATAAATGGAACAATATTACATGCATAAATCATACACACACACATGCAAGCACAGGCATACAAACATAGGACTTAAAAGAATTTGAAAAAGTATTTAGGCTACCTTGGGTGAACACATTCTGGGACATCTCAGAACTCACTTATTCTGCATCTGATCAAGTCCTGCATTTGACATTTTTTTTCTCCAAATAATGTAGTACTAGGAATAATCTCATAATTTTTCAACATTCATTTTTGGCTGAATATTTCCTTAAGAAACCACAGAAATTATAAATTTCTTCTTAACCAAAATATTACTTTTCTCAGATATTACAGCTTCACTTGATGATCAACTTTAATCAACAAATAGATACCTAATGAGATTATTGAATTACCAGAGTGGTAACCTCAGCAATGAATAAACCTCTAAGAGGGTCATTGCTAAATGGTCTTGCAGGAGTTTGGGCTGGTAAAAGAAGTAGGTCAACAGAGATGAGCCTTTGAAGGTGAGCCTCTGCTCTTGTTTTCTCTTAGCTCTGCTGGTTGAGTGTTCTGAGGTGAGCAGTGTACTCAGCCACTCGCAGACATCAGAGCCTTCTGCAATGAAACCAGTGAACCATTGGTACAAACCCCTACAATAGTGAACAAAGTAAATGTTTCTTCCTATGAGTTTCTTTTCTGTCTAAATGTTAAGATCACAGCAACAAAAAGCTCACTAACTCAGCAGTATATTTTTGTTATCAAAGAACTTTTTAGGGCAGTTTTTACATCTTTATTCCTCAGACTGTAAATTAGAGGGTTCAGCATGGGAACGACAATAGTGTAAAACACCGATGATACTATCCCTTGGTGCACAGAGTTGACTGATGAGGGCTGCAGGTACATAAATGCAAGAGATCCAAAAAACAGAGCAACTGCTGAGATGTGAGAGCTGCAAGTGCTGAAGGCTTTGGACCTGCCTTCAGCAGATCGAATTCGGAGGATGCTGGCTATGATGAAGATGTAGGAAGAAAGTATAGTCAGTGTTGGGAGAAAAATATTAAAAGCACTTAATCACAGAAGCACTACCTCATTAAGAAAAGTACTGGAGCAGGAGAGCTCCAGGAGAGGCAGAAGGTCACAGAAGAAATGGTCTATTACATGAGACTTGCAGAACATAAGTCTCAGCATGCAAACTGTGTGAGCTGTGGCACCAACCAAACCCATGCTGTACACCCCGGCTACCATACAGCAACAGACTTGAGCAGACATGGTTACATGGTAAAGCAAGGGGCTGCAGATGGCAACATAGCGGTCATATGCCATTGCAGCCAACATGTGGCACTCAGAGATAACAAAAACTAAGAAGAAATAGAGTTGAATCATACATTCAGGGTAGGAGATGATGTTCTTCTCTGTCACAAAGCTGCCGAGCATTTTGGGGGTAATGACAGTGGAATAGGACAGGTCAATGAAGGACAGACTGCTGAGGAGATAATACATCGGGGTGTGCAGGGGAGAACTGAGCCCGATCAGTATGATCATGCCCAGGTTCCCCACCACTGTGAACACGTAGATTCCCAGGAAGAGGAGGAAGAGGGGCAGCTGGAGCTCTGGTTTCTCTGTTAACCCAGCAAGGATGAATTCTGTCACAGTGGAACTATTTCCTTTCTCCATTTTCTTCTGGAAATTTCATGAAAAGAGAGAACAATGGAATTCCCATCCTTACTGTAGCATCAAATATAATTGTTAAATGTTCATCCTCATTCTACTGTTTTCAGGCAGCTTCTGATCTCAGTCTGTTGTCAAATACATTGAGATCTCAGAAGTGAGACATGTGAGTCTATATCAGTTAGGACTGTGTATTTTTCTATGCCATTATGTTAGTTATTAAGTGCATCTTGTTCCTAAATATAAACAGCAATGGTTAGTACATCTTCTGTTTTTAAATTACATAAGTTTATGTAGAAAATGTAAGGAATTTTTTTAAAGTAAAAATTTAACAGGGTAGAGTGGAAGATCAACAAAAAAATCCAGTTTGCACACTGAGGTTGAGCAGTCAAACTGCTTTTGGAATAATATCTCAAAGTGTTAAAATTTTCAGGAGTTCTTTAAATAAAGGAGAAGCATAACATCATTTATGTAATCATTAAACACTACTGAGTGCAGTTAAAATTGTTTCTGAAATGACAGCCATTCATGTCCATGAATGAAAAAACTATGAAAATGTTAATATTTCTAAAATTGATCAACAAATTCACTGCAACCCTAATAAAATCTCAGCTGTGTTGTATACAGATATTGACAACCTAATCATAATATCATATGAAAATATAAAGAATCTAGTGCTATCTTAGCAAACCTGAAAAAAGAAGATGGAGTTAGAGGTTTCATAATTTTCCTTTTGAGCCTAGGGTGGTGGTGCATGCCAGCTATACCTGTGCTTGGGAGACAGAGGCAGGAGGATTGCCTTGAGTTCAAGACCAACCAGGGATACAAAGTGAGTTTAAGGCCAGCCTGAACAATATAGTGAAAATCTGCCTCAAAAAAAAAAGACCAAATAAAAGGAGAAAACAAAACATAATTTCCCATTTGTAAATATACTAAGAAATTATTGTGATCAAGACAGTGAGATAATGGAATTCAATGAAAAAGTGTTAAATCTCATTGTAAAATGACATAACATGGTATAATTTAATTGACAATGAACTATTTTTAAATGTTGCTGAGAGAAATAGCAGAGTAGAAATAACATATTAGTTTGGAGCACATTTTCAGATCATCTACCATAATTTACTCAAAACAGGTCATAGAATTAAATGTAAGAAGTATTTTATAGTGACATCAGCATAATGCAACAGGACTAACATACATGTGACCCTATATTTAGGGAAAACGTCTTAGAAAGTATACCAAAACCAGAAAGTGTCTTGGTAAACTGAACTTGAAAATTGAAACTACTTTATATCGTTCACGAAAATTGTATTCAAAAGGTAAGTAAAAATAAGTAACTGCAGCAATGTGAAGGGATCATAACTGTTATAATAGTTCATGGCATTGTAAAATAGTGGAGATTGCTAGGAAACAAACTGGAAGTTATTAAATACAGAAAAATGAAGTTATTATGTGAACCAGCAAGTTCACTGCTAGGTATATATCTAAAAGAATAGAAGATATACATTCTCACAACATATTGTACGAGGGTGTTCAGGGATGCATTGTTCATAGTAGCCACTGAAGAATCCACATAATGCCCATCCAGAAAGAGAGAAATATAGAGAAGCAAAATGCAGAATACTAAACAAGCAGATTTCTGTAATAAAAAAAGAAATAAAGAGATCTGTCACATCCTAAGTGAACCTAAAAAATATTAAGTATTATAAACCACATGGCAAAGCTCTCCATTGTCAGAATCTACTTGTTTGATTCAGAATAAGCAAATTCATAGTCAGAAAACAGCTTGGTGTCTGCCAGCAGCTGTGGAAAGGACATATTGGATAACACTACTGAAGGAGCTTTACTTGGGTTGGTTTTGAAAATACTCTGAAAGTTGAACACAGTCATGTTCATACAGTGCCTAAATTTACCAAAACCCCCCTTCACTGATCTAGAAACTTGAAACCAGTGAATTGTATGTCACTTACAATTCAGTAAAAATGTTCTATAAATCTGAAAACCACAAGAAAATATTAATGACACCACACAGACACAAAACATTGCATAAGAACATATTAATTTGCCTCCAGTTTGGCTGTCTTGCTCATTCAGGTTTTATCCAGTATATTTCTCTGTCTTTATGACAAATGTGCTCATTAGGTTTTTCTCCAAGAACTCTGGTATTCCTACACACACACACACACAAACACACACATACACTGAAGATCATCCCACTAACTCCTCCTCTTTCCACAGCCTGCCCTGTCTTTTCAATCCTGACAGAAGCTTTGGGCACTGACCCGTTTCATTCGAGCAGCTCCCCAAAAACTATCTGTTTTGCTCTGAGCTACTCCTAGTTGTGTGAATGCCTTTAACCTTTGTGCAGCTTTCCCAATAACTTGTTCTGAATCAGTTTTCTGAGCTTCTTTTAATCAGGTTCATCCTAAAGATAAGTGGATCATAATCAAAATGCCATAACTTTGAGGAAACTGGATATTTCCTCACTTCTTAATAATTTTATTGAGGTAGAATATAGTTTTTGAATCAATGAAATGAACATATTTAACATGCACTATTTAATCAGTTTGGATATTTGCAAACGCTCATGGTACCACCACCACAATCAAGGTGATCAATTCATGTATCACCTCACAAAATGGTCTTGTGTTCCTCAATGCTTAATGTGAGATTTACCATTTTAAATTTTGAAATGCACAGTACCACACTGCTGACTATATGCAGGCACTATGGTGTTCTGTACAAAATAGCTTGAGGACTTACATATCTAGTAGAACTAAGCTGAAACTCCAAACAAAACTCCTTTGTATTTTATCTCACCTACTAACCCCTGCTAACTAGTATTCTGTTCCTTGCTTCAATCACATGTGACTCACGTAACTAGGATAAACCAGCATTTCCCTTTTGTGACTGGCTCCTTTCACTTATGATACTACCCACTAGGCTCCTGCATCTTGTTTCAAACAAAAATTTTCCCTTGAGGAAAATAATCCCTTTAATTCTTATCTAGAAATGATGATTTAACATCTTCACAAGTGTGATCAAGCAGACCTGGAATGCTTATTTCAGTACGTTTTAACAGATTGATACAGTAAAAATGGAGGATGATAGGTTTTCCAGATTCAGTAAAATATTTGTTAAACCTTTTGTAGTCCTGGAGAAGTGGCAGAGTTATGTGCTGTAAATACAGAATAGAATGAAACGGTAAGAAACTGTTAAAATGGAAATAGGAAATGAGATGGCATAATGTGGAAAGGACGGAAGGGAAAAAGAGAAAGTTAGTTGTACTGTTAGTGTCTCTTAGTTCACCTAAAAGGAGCTTTACACTAAAATTAATTGGAGAAATTTTTATGCCCATATTGTGTACTCCAAGTAACTATTTTAAAGATGCTAATATATGAAGTATTAAAGTTTTTGAATATTATTTTGTCCTATCATACGTTATCAATTCTTTGTTTTTTATACAAAATTAAACGAAAAGCATAGAAAAGCACATTTCATAGTCAGGGGAAACTAGGGGACACATAAAATCAACAAGTAAGTCAAAATTCTCCATTTTTTATTCCAGAAGACTTTATGCCCTCTGTTTTGTCTTGAAAACAGCATTCTATTGGTAATGTAGGTCAGTCTTTACAGACACAAATGAAATTTATAGAAAATAATAGTGAATGTTATATGCTGGAAACCACCCAAGACAGTATTTTTCGCCTGCAAAAGGGAATGAATTAGAATTTTAAATTTATATGTGAAAAATTATTGTGAGCATTCAGAATAGAGATATCATATATATAGATTCCTTGATCATCACGGTATTCCAACTGAGAAGTTGCCAAGGAGGCAGACTAGATACGGGAATAAATGTCTTTCTAGGAAATGTTCGATGAGAACATAGCTATTATGGTGTAAATGCTGAGTAAGGCTCAGTGAAAGTTTTTGAAGAGAAACAAATTGAAGTTTTTCCTTTTAGTAATTACCACAGGATACGATCATTGCCCCAAAGGACTTCTGGTACAACCTTACCTTTAATTCATAATGTTTCTTCAGTTCCTCTTTTCTTTCTTCTTTACCCCATGCAATCTCACTTAAAAGTTAAGATCCTTCAGCTAAGATCTTTCAAAGTGACATCATACTGAAAAACAACATTTTCTATCTTCCCATGAACATGTTGATATGCTCCTATGTGACACCTTCTTCATTTTGAAATATTTTGAGTATTTTAATACCTTTGCTTCCACATTAATTATAAACTCAGTATAGTCCAGGGCACAGTGTCTGCCATTATAAGACTCAAGACAAATATGCTATATAAAATTGTTTGGAGAAGTTTAGAAATAAATTAACATAGTCTCAGACCAACTGAACAAAGCCTCTATACCACCTGAATTGAAATGAGTAAAAAAATACTGACTATAATTTTATATTTCATGGGCAAACAGGCAATAAGGGAATCTTTGCTCACCAGGAAGTGCATCTCTTTGATTGAGTATGGGTAGAGACTGAAAATATTCCTGTGTGTCTTTATTAGCACTGGAGGTGAACTGCAGATACAGATTTTTAGGTTTAAAAAGTTATGGTCTGGAACTCAGAGACAGCCTCCTTCTTCCAAAAGAATTCAGATGGGATATTTTTCTTCTCCACTGTTTTGCCCTGAAAAACAGAGATGTTAGGTAGAGAGAGAGCAAAGCTACCCTGTGAGTCACTAACCTAGTTCTCTGACACAGCTGATGTCCAAAGCGGAGTGGTCATCTGTAAAGCCTTGGTATTAGGTGGTTTTATATGCTAGGTATAAAAGATAAGTCTGATTAGGAGTAAACAATTTTAATGACATCCCACTAGAATCTTATCCCCTATGAATCAACTCTGGGGAAAAATTAACAATTAGAATTTTCCTGTTACCTCATTGGTTCTCAAGTGTTCAGCCTGTGATATAGCCATAAATGCACATTCTTGCTTCATAATAGATTAAATAAACAATGTGAGAGATATTGTTAGAGCTCTAGTGA